ATTTTCATGAAAACATCAAGAAAATTATAAGAAAATAAAATTGGCATTTCATGCATTTTTTCATTTTTTGGTTTATTTTTACTTTTAATTGCTTTTATTTCATTTACACTTGGTATATGTTACTTGCTGAATTTAGTATGGACATTGTATTTCATATTTTGATGTAATTCTTTTTCCTATGGTTAGATTAGAGTATTAGGTTCCCCCTGGAATTTTGTCACATTTTTTTGATTTAATCTTGTTTAGCTTTGAATAAAGAGCATTAGGGTGACTAGAATTAGGGTTAAACTTGACATAGGTGCATCATAACACTTAGATTTTGGGTTTTTAGCTTGAATTAGGAGCTGGGAAATATAGGGTATGTAGGGTAGATATATAAATCCCCTTAGAATTAATTTTAGGATTTTAAATAATATACTACTATTTTACTTGATTTTTGTAAATAGTATGTTTGTTTGGTGTGGCCATTGTGGGCTTTTGTATTGTTTGCTTGGGGTTGGGCTTTGCTATGGGGTATGGGGCTTGGGTTGGGCTTGTGGAGCATGAAGGAGCATAAGAGAAGATTGAAGATGGGATCAAAGTTGGATGCATGAAGATTCTTGTGCTTGAAGATGTTTTTTGAAGACATAGGAAATAGGAAAAATAGGCAGAGCTTTAGATTAGACTGATCTCTTTCACAAACATGGAAAGCTTCTTGTGCTTCCATTCCTCCCAATGACTAAAAGTCCTTCTAAGATATTCACATCCTTCCTTTGGAGGGATAAGTGGCTTATCTTAGAAGTAGAACTTTGAGGGAACCAGTCTCTCATGATGATAAACACTTATAGGCTTCCTTTGGTTGTCAATAAGCTGTTTTATCATTCCAACTTATTCTGTTAAGTGATTCTCCTCTGGAGTGCTTGCCTTGAAGATGGAGCTTATCTAAAGCTTGGAGGCCATTGAAGTTTGATTTTGGGATTCAGTTGAAGGTTGTTGTTTTTGCTGTTTATCAACTGTCAGAGTTTGATGTTTTTCAGAGCTGCTGCTGTAGGAGCTGGTGTGCTGTCAGAGCTGGTTTTGGGGCTTATTTTTCTTTGTTGTATTGTTTGTTAATTTTCCCCTTAGGTTTGAAGTGAAGCTGTTTCACTTTTTCTATTGTTTTCTCAGGTTCGAGGTTGAGTGGGACTCCCTTGCCTCGCTTGTACTGTTGCATCTCATGCATTTTACTGCTTTACTGTATATATGCTGTTTCTTTTCCGTTTATCCCCTAGGATCTCTGTTTCTTTCTGCGCAAGAGAGAAATATGACAGACATTAGGTGTTAACCCATGCATGACAACATTAGGGTAGTTTTGATTCCCGTTTCAAACCCTAGGTTTTAGAGTTCTTTCTCTTCTATCTCAAAATCATCCAAACACAATAATAAGATTTCAAACATCAATAAAAGACAGTTCTTGCGTAAAAGACTGAAAACCAATCAAAGTGTCATTTTTGTCCGCTTGGACCCGTAATCAGGAGAAAACCTTTTTCAGAAGGATAAAAGATAAACAGACAAATCTGTGTCTTCCGTGGCCCGAACTACGTTTGCTCTGATCTTTCATGCTGTATGAAAGTACGTAGGCATAGGATGTGATATCCTAGCGAGCAACCTTCCCCTACTTTCCCGTAGGTAGGCGAACTACGCTGACTCTGATTTCTCGTTCCAGACGGGAATACGTAGGCATAAAGTGTGATACTTTGCCGAGTCATTTTATTTTCTTTTAACCCCAGACCTGTAGAATAGATAGAATAACAATCTGTACTAGAAAACAAGCGTGGATCCCGTCGAGTACGACGGACGTGAGGGGTGCTAATACCTTCCCCTTGCGTAACCGACTCCCGAATCCAGGATTTGGTTGCGATGGCCATTCCTTTCCCATCTTTGCGGTAGGTTTACTTCGAGCGTTTCCTTTCCCTCCTTTGGGATAAATAACGCACGGTGGCGACTCTTCTGTTCAGCCGGCGCCGATTTTTGCAGTAGCGACATCGTGGAAGAGGTAGGAATCAGTATCAGCCACAGCAAGTTGCTAGTGTTACTATCCCGATACCTCAACAACAACAACAACAACAACAACAACAACAACAACAACAACAACAACAACAACGACAACAACAACCGCAGCAACAGAGAATGCACCCTGCTCAGCGTAGAATTCAAGAGGGTAGGCCGAAGAGAGTATTTGAAGCACCTCCTACAACTTATGCTGAACTTCTTCAAGCGCTGTTGGGTTTGAATTTGGTTGAAAAGAGAACGATGGCCCTGTTGACAGGCACTCCTCCATTTGGTTTTGACGCTGGTAAACATTGTGATTTTCATTCCGGGGCGCCCGGACATGATATTGAAGGTTGCCATGCTTTCAAACATAAGGTTCAAGATTTGCTTGATAGTAAGGCCATTAACTTTGGTCAGGATGGTCCCAATATTGTACAATAACCCATGCCGAATCATGGAGTGAATGCTATCATAACGGAAGAGAATTTGAACTTGGTTATGGATGTGAATGAATTGAAGACACCGTTGAGTTGTGTTAAAAGTAGATTGTTGAAAGGGGGTGTATTCCCCGGATGTGACGAATATTGTCTGGATTGCTGGACCCAACCAGAGGGTTGCGCTGATTTGTAAAGAGGTATCCAAGCCATGATAGATGAGGGGATTTTGCAATTTGATCGAACTGTTGTTGAGAAGCCTGTTGAGGCATTGTTTGAAAAGCAGGATGAGATTGCAACTGTTACGATCCCAAGGAAGACTATTACGATATCGGCGCCCTCCCAGCGGCCGACTATCACAATAACAAAAGCAGGGCCTGTTCCTTTTGAGAGTACAAAAGCTGTTCCATGGACATATGGGTTAGAAGCGTACTGTAACGGACAAAAGATTGAGGTGAATAGACAACCGGCAGGGGCAGTTGACAATGTTGTTGGAACGGGAGGCATGACCTGTAGTGGAAGAATATTCATCGCACCTGAAGTTGAAGCAGAGAGGATTGCTAAAGGCAAGGCCAAGGTGAATGAAAGTGGACCATCCCAGTTGAAAGAGAAAGACACGTCGCTCAAGGACGTAGAAGAGTTCATGAGGCTAATTCGCAAGAGCGATTATAAGATTGTTGAGCACTTACAACAGACACCCGCAAAAATTTCAATCCTATCTTTGTTGCTTTATTCTGAGGCTCATCAAAATGCCTTGTTGAAGATATTAGACATGTCGTTTGTACCTCAGGAGGTTTCTGTCAACCAGCTAGAGGGGGTACTGGCGCATGTCAATGCTGAACATAGTTTTGGTTTCACTGATTTTGATCTAACACCCAGAGGCCGAGAGCATAATATGGCTTTGCACATATCGGTGGAATGCCGGGGAACCGTAATGTCGCATGTTCTTGTCGATACCGGATCATCTCTGAATGTATTGCCTAAGAAGGCTGTGATGAAGTTAGATATCTGGGGAATTATTTGCACGCCAAGTGACTTGGTTGTGAGGGCGTTTGATGGAACGAGAAGGTCGGTGTTTGGATTGATAACGTTGCCGTTGCAGGTCGGGCCGGAAATATTCGACACTGAATTTTATATCATGGATATTCATCCATCTTATAGATGTTTGCTTGGGCGTCCGTGGATACACTCTGCAGGGGCTGTGACGTCCACGCTGCATCAGAAGCTTAAGTTTGAAGCCGGTGGTGGCATCGTTACTATTTGTGGGGAAGAGGACATCTTGGTCAGTCATCTCTCATCATTCAAGTACGTTGAAGTGGATGGAGAAATCCACGAAACGCCCTGCCAAGCCTTCGAGGGGTTGCAAATCAAAGACAAGTCCAATGTTCCACTACGCCAAAATTGGTTTTTTGTATCGCCTACTTTAATAGCGCTTTTTAAATAAGCGCTATTAAAAAGGAAACAAACATATTTATAATAGTGCTTTATAGTAAAGCGCTATTAAAGAGTACAGAGAATATGATTTTGATAGCACTTTGAAAAAAGCGCTATTATAGATATTCACTAAGATAGCGCTTTTCTAAAAAGCGCTATTAAAAAATATGTAACTACAATAGCGCTTTCTATGGAACCGCTATCGTTTCTATAATTGTGTTTTAAGATAGCGCTTTTTTAAAAAGCGCTATTAAAATATTCCACTAAATTAAATTAATTAAAATATGAAAACCTTTCCTGACCCAAATGTTTTTCGTTTTGGCGCAAAATTCTTTCACACACGCCAAAAAGCACATCTTCACCGCTTCTTCATCGATTCACCGCTTCTTCATCGATTCACATCCATCGATTCACAGCCATCTTCTTCACTTCACTGGAATAAAAAGACGAACCCTAAGACAGCTCACCACCGTCATCCTTCTTCGTCGATCTCAACCGCCGTCATCAGCTCACCACCGTCATCCTTCTCCGTCGAAAGGAGCCGCCGTCATCAGCTCACCACCGTCATCCTTCTCCGTCGAAAGGAGCCGCCGTCATCATCTCACCACCGTCACCCTTCTCTTCATTGATATCCGGTAATCTTTCTTTTCTCAGATTATTGCTTTGTGTTAAATTGTAAATTAGGGATTTGAATGCTTTGTGTTGTAAATTGTAAAATTAGGGATTTGAATTTGATTTTCATTTTCTTGAAGAACTGTTGGCATTTCATGAAATATGATATTTAAGCTTTTATTTTCTTGAAGAACTGTTGGCATTTTCTTGAAGAACTGTAACGTCTTCTTTTTTAACTCACATCCCTAAGGTTTCAAACCCTTTAAGCTTAGGTTATTATAGGCCGATTTGTTTGGTGGGGAGCCTTTATAAAATTGTTGCAAAATTACTGGAAGCAAGATTGAAAAGAGTGATTAGTAGTCTTGTTTCTCAATGTCAATCTACTTTCGTCCCCGGAAGACAACTGTTGGATGGTGTTGTTGTTGCTAACGAAGTTATAGATAAGGCTACTAGAGATAACATTCCTGTTCCAACTCCCTTCACAAGTGCCTCCCCCTTGCTTATGACATACTATTTATCCATGTTCTCTGTGAAGGATTTGACTGCCAAACCCTCCCCAACAAAAGCATATACTGTTTTTATTTGTGATATGGTCTGTCATAATATCAGTATTAGAGTTTGTTATAATCATCTATGTGACAATAGATTAGACTAAAAGTATCACTGATATTGAACACTTGGATTGTGTATATGTATAAAATGCATAATTTGTCATGTTGTAAATCATAGTATTGCACCATGCATGGATCGATGTCGTATACCTGTTCTATCATAGACGTGGCTTCAGAATGGTAAAACAATTTCGTAATCGAGATTCTGTTCATTTTCTTAGTGTAACTTGCTCTAATTATGAGAATAAGAGGGACAACCACTAAACACAAAAGTGCTACTTCCCAACAGGATATTGCGGCGATCACAATCCCGGCAAAGAAAGTTGTGCAGCTAGAGGTAAAGTGACCCAACTGTGATCAAGAAATTCACTTGCTAGGTTCAGTCATAAAAAGAAAGATTAAACTTGTTACAATTATTTTTTTGCTTACCTTTTCACCAATTGCATCTTGTATAACACTCATGTGCTTGCTTATTCCAGTTATGACTTTTCCACTTGTTAATTCTGTATCAAAAGCTCCTATCTCTTGGCTTAGAACTGCTTTTAGATATGTTAATCTTAGGCGTGATAACTGTCTTTCACTTGCATACATCCAACAACCAATCTCTGCATAAATTTTCATCTGGTGAATTGTAGAATTGATAATTGATAGTTTCTATGAACTTATTTCTATGAATTTTTTAGCAATGCTGTATGAACTTATTTGTTAGCAATGTTGTATGAACTTATTTATACATATTTTTTATCAATAGTTTCTACGAATTACTACTTTTGTTAGCAAACAGGAATTTATCCTTAATTCATAATAAATAAAGGAGCTGTAGGTTTTAGTTAGTGGCTACAATGAAATGATAAAAGTTTAATGATATAATTGACACAATTTCTTTCATTATATTTGTGAGTTCTATCAGAGACAGGAAACAAACATAGATTGTTTAGAAGAGTTCATGCACAGGCATGAAATATAATCTAATGTTGCTAGACTCAGCATGTAAAACATTCCTCTCATTACACAAGTCTCATATATCATGGCTTTTTCTTTTATCAAGTGAACTTTTATATTATGTGGTTAAAACTTAAGAAAAGGGGAAAAATGATGGTAGGAGATAATACTCACAGGTCGGAGCAGCTTCCAAGTCTCTGTAAATGATATAATTAAGCCATCGTCCCTCCAATTTAGATGAATTTATTTTGCTACACTCAGACTGCAAATAATAGTTAGAATATGTATAAAGAGTAAGTTATGTGTAACTTACGATTAAAAATGAATTTCTTTTTTCCGGCAGCTTAATAACTAAAAATGAAGTAAATGTTTGGTGAACATAAACCCCACATCGATTTATGAATAAGTTTTGAAAAGGTATATAACTAACTGAAACAAACAAATAATAGTAACATAAGTAGATTGTAATAAAGCTGATAAGGTATCTTGTACTAATTGGTTTTGCTTTGTCTGAATTTGTTGTTACAGTGCTCGATGTTTTGTGCTTCATTCGCGTTGTTTCTTTAAATTGTTTCAGACACTTAACATCAGAGTCTTCACCTCTTTTTATCAACCAATTTCTTGTGAGAATACAAAATGTGATGAAGATCTTCCTCAATCCTAAGCTGTGAAGTGCCTTCAATACGAGGTAAATGATCAATTTAATCCTAAGCTGTATAATTGGAACCGCTGGAATAAAGTCCGGGTATGAGGTAGTTGTTGATGTAGTCATTATTCACCGTCACGACAATTGCTATAGGACAACGACGAATCCAACTGACGAGAATCAATTCCTAGCCAAATCTATAGCAATTGTCGTGACGGTGAAGAGTTGAGTTGGATGACAATATTGACAGGTGCACAAATGCTTTCAATGTACAGTAAAGACTTTAAGTTTCTGCTTAATTAGTAAGTGTTTTAAAAATCTTTGGGAAGATTAAAAGTACCAAGTAGATGAGGGGAAACAACACGTTGCCCAAGAGATGAATTTCCTTGAAATTTTTTGAAATCATGATTGACCAAAAGACATGTCCCTTGTTCTGTCGTTGCTTCAGCTTATAGGCATTAAAATGATTATATGGTTTTATAGAAGACTGATATTTTCTAGTATAAACTATCCCCTCATTATTATGCTATAGATTTAGAAACTTAAAAACATGCCTTTTCAAACTCTGAAGAGTTGAAACAGGTATTTTAGATATACTTTAAGATAATTATTAAGAGTGCAATGAGCAACCCCGTTTAAAAAAAAATTGGCTTAATATAACCTAGATCTACATATGTCCTAACTTTTGGCTTATTTATTCTCAAATTAAATAAAGATGTGATATCAAATTAAATAAAGATGTGATGTAAACACAGCAGTATCCAAACACAGTTTCTTCATATTCTGTGAGTAAATGTATGTTTTTCATATTTTGTCTTTAAGTTTTCAAGAATGTTGCAAGAAGGAAAAACCACTTTGACACAGTTTCTTCATTTAATTTGATAAGCAATATCCAAACACAGCAGTGATAGATGAAGTACACCTGATTGTATGGTTCTGTCCTTATATATATATATATATATATATATATATATATATATATATATATATATATATATATATATATATATATATATATATATATATATATATATATATATATATATATATATATATATATATATATATATATATATATATATATATATATATATATATATATATATATATATATATATATATATATATATATATATATATATATATATATATATATATATATATATATATATATATATATATATATATATATATATATATATATATATATATATATGCCCTTATAGGACCAAGACCTTGAAATTGGGCGTATGATTCATAGGTAGAACCTAATTTGGTTGTTAGAAGCAGTTGTTAACTAGTTATCTATATTACGTGTTAGGAAATATGGATCGGAAAAGGATGTTTGCTAGTCGAGCGTCAAAAGAATACGAAGATGGGGTTCAAGAGATTGTTAGGTTTGCTATTGCTCATGCCAAAGACACTAGTAAAATCATATGCCCTTGCTTAAAATGTTGTTATACGGATGTTAATGCAAATGTTTTGGAAGATCACTTAATATGTAATGGAATTGATAAAAGTTATACATGTTGGATAATGCACGGAGAAAAAAAAAACAAGTCAACAAAGAGGGGCAATGGGAGAGATAAATCAAATGATTTTGAACAAGATACAAATTATGAGTTTGATCGAGTTGAAGAATTTGTGAATGTAATTGAAGAAGATCTTCGCGATTGTCCTCAAATGTTTGAGAGGCTAGTAAGTGATGCAGAGACTCCATTGTACGAAGGATGTACTAAATTTACAAGATTGTCTGTGGTCTTAAAATTGTATAACTTAAAAGCACGCCATGGATGGTCTGATAGGAGTTTCACAGACTTGTTGACTCTGTTAAATGAGATTTTGCCTAAGAATAATGTGCTCCCTAGTCGAACCTATGAGGCTAAACGATTGTTATGTTCTATTGGAATGAGTTATGAGAAGATACATGCTTGTCCGAATGATTTCATGTTATTTCGCAACGAGTATGCATCATTAGATATGTGTCCTAAATGTAGTGCCCCACGATATAAGAATAAAGAAACAACTCCAGCCAAAACGCTATGGTATTTTCCGATAATACCAAGATTTAGGCGCATGTATCGTAATGCGGAAGATGCAAAGAACTTAACATGGTATGCAAAAGAAAGGGTTGTTGATGGAATGCTCCGACATCCTGCAGATTCTCCTCAATGGGCAAAAATTGATCATGATTACCCAAATTTTGGGCAGGAAGAAAGAAACCTATGTCTCGCATTGTCTACTGACGGAATAAACCCTCATGGTATTCAGAGTAGTAAACTTACTTCTTGGCCGGTGATTTTGTTGATTTATAACCTACCTCCATGGTTATGCATGAAGCGCAAGTACATGATGTTAACTATGTTAATTTCTGGGCCCAAGCAACCAGGAAATGATATAGACATATACTTGGCTCCATTAATTGAATATTTAAAGCATATGTGGGAGGCAGGTGTAGAGGTATATGATGAGTATAAAAAGGAATCCTTTCAATTGAGGGCTATGTTATTTGGAACAATCAATGATTTTCCTGCATATGGGAATCTATCAGGCTACAGTGTCAAAGGAAAACTTGCATGCCCCGTATGTGAAGATAATACACATTCAATACGGTTGGATCATTGTATGAAAAATGTATTTCTTGGAAACCGTAGATTCTTAAATACCAACCATCGTTTTCGAAAATGGGGAAAAGCATTTAATGGTGAATCTGAAGAAAAAAGAGCTCCCGTGCCTTTGACGGGAGATCAATTATACCAAAAGGTAAAGCTTTTGAGCACTAATTTTGGGAAGCCTTTTTCAAGTGAACTTGCCACTGGGGGATGGAAAAAAAGTCAATTTTCTTTGAATTGTCGTATTGGAAGTCATTGTATGTTAGACATTTCCTGGATGTGATGCATATTGAAAAAAAATGTTTTTGAAAGTGTCGTTGGTACATTACTCAATCTTCCATGAAAGTCTAAGGATGTCCTTAAGGCAAGGTTAGACCTGCAAAGTATGGGATTAAGAAATGAATTGGGGTCGGTTAAGAGGGAGGGTAAGCGTACATTTCTACCTCCAGCAGCTCATACTCTGTCAAGAAAAGAGAAAAAGATCTTGTGTAAGGTTCTTCATAATGTTAAAGTTCCAGAGGGCTACTCATCAAACATTAAGAGTTTGGTATCTTTGAAAGATCTCAAATTGAAGGGTTTAAAGTCTCATGATTGTCATGTTTTAATGGAGAACTTTCTTCCGGTAGCTATATGTTCCATTTTACCAGAAAATGTGCGATGGACCATAACTAAACTTTGTTTTTTCTTCAAAGCTATGTGTAGCAAAGTTATTGACCCTGAGAAGTTGCCGACATTACAAAAGGAAATTGTTGTCACATTATGTGAGCTTGAGATGTATTTTCCACCTTCATTTTTTGACATAATGGTTCATCTCACCATCCATCTTATCATGGAAATACAATATTGTGGACCAGCTTATATGAGGTGGATGTACCCGATTGAGCGTTACATGAAGATAATAAAAGGTTACGTGAAGAATCGAAGTCGACCAGAGGGTTGCATTGTTGAACGATATTTAGTTGAAGAAGCTATTGAGTTTTGTAATGAATACCTCTCTAATGTTGAGTCCATAGGGCTTCCAATGTCACGACACTCTGGAAAAACAATAGGGGAAGGGATTGGTGCAAGTAAACTAGTCACCATGTCAGACATCGAATTGGAGCAAGCACACTTGTATGTACTACACAATACGGATGAGGTTGAGCCATATGTTGAAAAGCACAAGGAAATCCTTCAAAGTTTGAACCCTAACAGGAGTGAAAATTGGTTAACAAGAGAGCACAATAAAAGTTTTATATCGTGGCTAAAAGAACACATTTTTTTCAGAATTTGCCAAAAATCCTGCTTCAATTTCCGAAAGATTGAGATGGCTAGCAAATGGTCCAAATTCACATGTTCTCTCGTACTCTGGTTATATAATTAATAAGTATACATTTTATACGAAAGAACAT